AATGGAAAAATTAATTAATAATAGTATAAAAAGACTTTAAATTTCAGTTTGAAAAATCAAGTTTAAAAACATTTAGTTTCTTTAAGAACAGAACTGCCTTCCATTGTCTTTACCTTGTTTAAGGACTATATTATTGTTCACATTGATAAACTGATGTCATCTTCCTTTTAAAATTTATTAATGAACATTTAAAACTTAGATAAAAAGGGCCTGACAAAAAAGTTATGGCCCTGACTTATTTTAAGTGAGGTAAGTGTGTACAGCATGAAGTATTTTGACCTAACAGTAGGGTAGTAGAAAGTATGTGCTATATAGAAGCAATCTGTGAGTCCCTGAGTTCACACTAGAGCCCCAAGTAAATTTCTCCTAAGACTGACCATGGCCATGAGTGGGGGTTAACATTTAAAGGTATGTATGGTATTACCAAACAGAAGAAAAACCTTCATTTCCTATTGTCCTTGTTTTTAAGCTCTGATTTTGGATCATAAGTTAATATATATGTATTCTACTGTAAACTTAAACACAGAAAGTGGCAGTCCCATTAGGGTTGCCTGCCTGTTTATTTTTATATATCATCCAGTGCTGGTTAACTATTCAGGGGGCTCATCACTCCCATCATGGCAAAGCGCTGGTTATCCCTCTCTTCATTTTGTGGGAAGAAACTTGTGAAATTTCTTCTGTCTGCATTGGGATGTTGACTCTTTCTGGTCTTGTTCAGGTCCAAAGGCAGCCAAGTTGTTGAGATTGTTATAGGTGAACCTGTGATAGCCAGAAAGCACTATCTCTCAACAAACTTCTGGTCCTGTGCTTCTTACAACCTTTCTGCCTCCTCTTCTGCCTTGGTCTCTGAGCACTGGGTACAGGAGTTGTGTTGTGGATTTATCTGTCAAGGCCAGACACTTGTCGACAGTCAGTGGTTGTGTGAATTTTGATTAGTTATACCTTCCTATAATGATCTGCTGCTGCTGCAAAAGAAGCTTCTTTGATGAGGGGTAACATTTCACTTAATGGTGGGTGTACCTGTAAGAGTTGAGGATGTAGTTAGGAATGATAGTGGTTTAGAAAGGTGACCATAGCAGCTCATCTAAGATCTATGATCTCACCAGCTATGCATAGTTTTCTAGGGCTGAAGTACCAGGCATAGCTTTCTTCCTTCTAAGTGGGCCTTGAACTCATTAGAGAGCTGTTGGTTTACTGCCAGCATGTAAGTACCACTATTCTACCATTGGCCATATCAGGTATTACTGTTGTGGTTCTTAAGCAGCAGAGATAAGAAGGATTATTGATTACTTCCCTACACTAGCCATTTGCATGCCACCTTTTATATTATGAAAGCTAGTCCTTGGGGAGGAGGCTCTGAGGTCAGTTTCAGCTCAAGCCCTCTGAATCCTATCTTCTAACTGTATGGTATCTTCAGCAATAGAGTCTTATCTTTAAGTTCTGGGAGGCAACCAAAGGTGATAGCAATAGACACTATTGTTTTGGGAGTGTCTTGGAATCCTCCAACCAACTACTTGGGAGGTTTTTCATCATGGTACTAGGCTTTTGATAGATACTCTATGGTTCTTGGGAAGCATTTTTATAACCCCCAAGGGTTTATTCATTTTTAAATGAATAAAAAAAATGAAGGGTGACTTCATTTTTAAAGTATATATGCACACGTATATAGTCTTGTATGTACTATATGTAATTTTTAGATAAATATAAAGATTTCTTATGTCTTTTCAAGCATCTTTAAAATTTTTCTTCTCCTTCTCTTTCCTCTTCCGTATTATCTTTCTTCATCTCTTCTTAACTAAATCCCCTTCCCTTTTAGTTTCTCAGAAGCCATTGAGATTTAGAACACTGACCAATTAGTCAAATCTGAAATTACAAATGCGAAAGAAAACCCAAGGTCATAACCAGAGATTGTTTTGCTCTGCAATTCAGATAAGTTTTTGATTTCCATTTCCATTTTCTGATGGACTTCTGCAGGTAATGTTTAGTTGATAAAAGTTCCTTGCTACAATATAATACTTATATGACAAGGTTTGTAGTTTCTGGAAGCCTGTTTCTTTGGGTGTATAGAAACAGAACCTATTAGAGATGTGCTTTGAAAATGTGATGTAGAACTACCTTAGAGACCTTGTGGCAGTTCTTTGTCCACTTCAAGTTACAGTATGCCTGAAAAAAAAGAATCTTGGCATATCTTTTCATTTTAAGTTAGTTTAGGGATGTTAATTCTTTCTTCATTGTCATTGAAAAACTTTATATTGATTCAACATTTTGCCAGAATATATGATTTTTCTGTTTAATGGCTATTAAAAAATTAAAATTGTTCATTTGTGTTTTGGAATGTACAGTTTGTTGTTCATTTTTTATTTTAATTTTGTGTAGCTTTGGCAATTGATTTTTTTGAAATGATAGTATCCGAGCTCAAAATTGGCAAATCCCTTACTTTATACATTTTTTGTTAGAACTATATGAGCAATATGACTTTTGTTGAAGTAATTCTGATTCAGGACAACCCAGGTTTTCAATACCACTAAAATTGATAAGTAAGTTTTAGTTTTCATCTTTTGTAGTAAATATGTAAGACATATAAAATGTGCAAAACTTTAAAATCACCCACTTTTGTCTTCTTTTTTACAGATAGCCAAGGAAGATACTCTGAAGTAATCAAAAAGTCCAATGCAATAGAACTGTTATTTACACTCTACCCTCCTCAGGGAGCCAAAGTGAACATTAGCACAAGACTCCGGTCCACGTGGCTGAGGCCTATAGTGGATGGAGAAGAAGGCTATAAGTACATAGGTAAGATGCTAGCTCTATCTTCTAAGGAGAAGAAGAAATGCTGCCTTATGTTCTGTAACATCCTCTTTACTTCCTGGGTATCGTGTGTGTCCTCAGGTCTAAGTGTGTGTATTTTGTGCTTTTGTGCCCTCATTCATACAGTGGAAACACAGTGTGCCAAGCTGTTTCTGGATGATGAACATTTGGGCTGCTTCCACTGTGGATTCCTCAAGTAAAGCCTCTGTGGACAAGCATATGCAGTACTGTGCACAGACACACACGTGCTTTTCTCTTGGCCATAGTGTTCTCATGAAGATCTTGCCATTCCATGCCCCGCACCAGTTAGGATATAAAAGTTGCTGTTTTCCATAGCTGTATTAACACTGACTGTGATCAGTGTTTTTATGTTTAGCAAGTCCAACAAACACTTATATAGTGGTATCCCTTTATGGTTCTAATTTGCATTTTCAAAGTAACTCATCATACTTTGTATCTTTGTATTTGCAATTTTAATTTTTATTTGGTGAAGTCTGTTCAGTCATTTTCGCCATTTTCAGATTGTTTTGATTATTCTTAAGCTTTAGGGCTCTGTTGATATTTCTGGGCACTAATGCGGCACTATATAGATGTGAATACATGTTTCATCTTCTCTTAAATTGCATCTTTTAAAGAGATTTTTATTTTGTGAAGTCCAATGGACTATTGTATTTCTTTATGACTGTGCCTTTTCTGTCATTTTCAGGAAATACTGGCTGAACTTGTGGTCGCAAAGGTGTTCTTTTATATAATTTCAGTTTTAGGATTTATATTTTATTATATAATGAGTTTTGAATAAATTTTTGTATGTGACTCAAAGTATACATTAAATTTTTAAATTGCATTTTATGTCTAAAATTTCCAACAGTATTTACTGAAAAATCTGTCCTATGAATTAACTTTGCATATTGATTCAAGCTAAATAAATAAAGTGTTTAGTTGTCAGTCACATGAATGAAAATATTCTTGGTTAATTTTGTAACCATTAGTTACAAAATTAATGGATATTAGAACTACAGTGAGGTAATACCACTCATCTATTGAAAAACATGACTGATATTAAAAACTATAGGTGTGATGTTTGACTATAAGTGTGATGTTTGTGATGTTTGATGTGATGGAGTACATATTGCTGGTGAAAATGCAGGATGATTGACTCAAAATTTCTTATGTTTATTATGTTCTATCCACCAAATATAGTAATCACTTCTTAGGTGATTATTGAAGATAAATGAAATAATTTTTATATGTAGCTTAAAATAAAATAAAAAATTAAAAAATAGTTTCTTCATGTTTTGATATTATAATTGCATCTTTTCACTTCTCTTTCCTTCTGTAAACCCTCCAATGTAGCCTCCTTGTTCCCTTTCAAATTAATGGCCTTTTTATTTAGTATAGCTGCATATATATGTAAAATAATTTTTATATAAAAACCAATATGTATGGATGTATAACAACATCATTCATAATCTATAAAATCTGGAAACAACGTAAATGGCCTTTAATTGGTGAATAGATAAACAAGATTACCTGCAATTATATAATGATACTCAAAAATAAATAGGAATAAGCTGTTACAGAACACGATGGTGTGGATGAGTCAGATATTTATGATAAATAAGGAGGCAGACTAAAGCCATGTGCTATCTGGCTCTGTTGAAGGGACAGTTGAAACCAGGAGAAACAATCCAACACAACTTAGCCTGTGCTTTGTTGATCTCCAGGTTTGTTACTGTGCTCCAGCGTGAAGCTGCCCTAGGCATTCTCAGAGCCATGGAGCAGCTCTGCACCTTGATCAGCATATTTATTAAAGTGTACGTAACATACTACTACAAATGAGTCGAATCCCATAAAACAATGCACTGTACTATATACATACTTAAATAAAAACATAAAGTATAAAATGATTTTTTTTAGTGGGCCAGAGTTCTGTTAAAGGCATTAGGGAATTGTACACCAATCCACAATAGGGTATTAACACACCTGACTAAATGGCTGATAGTAGAAGACTGGCCCTCCAAGTGTTAGCAGGGCTATGCAACTGCTGGAAAAACACTATACTCTCGTGTGAATCTGAATTGTCATGCAGTCTTTGAGAAAACTGTCACTCTCTTTAAAAAGCTAAATATGCATTGTATCATTCAGCATAAACAGACACCGCTATCTACCTAAGAGGAGAGACTCTATTGCAGATGATGGAAGACAGAGGTTGTGATCTATTGATGTACAATACATAGATATGTAAAAACAACAAAACCCTTAAAACTAATGAAATACATGACAATATGTATACATGACATAATTCTGTCAATGAACAAAGGCAGACACAATGGGCTAGATGTTCTGTAAATCTGATTATATTCAATTTGAGAAAATGTGGAGTAACCCATAGGAACTGAAGGAGACTGATAGTCGTGTAGGAAAGTAGGCTAGTGTTAGGAGGTAAAGGACCAAACAATTAAGAGTGATAAAAATTCCTAGAACTTTGATTGTTTAATGTTATTTTTGGAAAACTGTCAAAATTCATCACATTGTACACTGTAAATGTATGCCATATTGTTTAACATCTATACCTCAGTCAAGTCATCAAAAGAAATTTGAAGATATATTTAAAGAATTACAATATTTTCTAAAAGATCCCTTTCTTCATAAGTGTTAAAGCTTGTATATTAAACTTTGCCTGTAAGATTGGTGTTGGTCTGGAGCTTGTGGCTCAGTAGTAATCACTGTGTGCACTGTCACGGCTAACTAAACCAGAGTCACAGAGTCACATGGCACCGGAATTCCATCAGGCTGGTGTATAGGAAAGCAAATTAGTGTGCTCATCTTAGTGGTCCTCCAGCGGGAGAAGACGGAACAATGAAAAGGGGCATTGAATTTGAAGGTTTATAGTCCTATAAATTAGTCAACACTCCAGTTTCTATTTAACTTGTCTTGTAATTTTCCACCTAAGATTATTAGAACGTGACCCATTTTAGGCTAAATATTTGTGTTTAGTGTTTAGAACCAGTTTACGGATAAATAATACAATAAGCAGAAAGGAAATCTGACAGTGACTCACATCCTATGTTGAGGACTGTCTCATTATGAGTTTCTAGGCTGAGTTTTCCTTCCTCCTGCATGGGAACATGACCAGAGTCTTGTATCATTTTGATCATAGTTGTCATAAATTTGACCGAAAAGAGAATTGAAGCATTTTCCTTAAAAGAGATCAGTCTATTTCAGAAGTGCTTTCTGAGTAACTCCTTAACTGTAAACACTTTAAGGGTGCTAGCTTTGGGAGTCTGTGTTGTGCTCCCATGGTAATACTCAATGGTGTAAACACTCGTGTTTATTGGTTTCACTCTAGATTTGGCAATGTGTCATCGTCAGTACTGAAGAACAGTTACTAGAGACTCAAAAGCTTTAGCTTGAGTTGATAACAGATTAGTGTTAGGACTGTGGCTCCTCTGGAGATTCTTCTTTCCCATCTGTATTTTAACACTAATTCCTAAATTAACGGTGTTTAAGTGTAATGACTGCTGAATATGTCCTTCATAATTATATGTTGCTAATTTGCACACATAATTTCTTTTAATGGTAATTTTATAATCTTAGACTATGTAGAAAACAGTCTTCAATTTTTCAAGGATACATATCTAACTAAACGTATTTAGAAAGGTTGTGTGGAGAAGCTATTTTTTCTTCCATGACTCTGGTTATTTTACCTTATAAGCCATGTGCCAGTCAACAACCTGACTCTCGGTCTGCACAACCCCCTAAACATAAATGTCAAATTTCTTCTCCTACATTACGTTTCTTGTGTCTTGGCTAGCTTTCAATCTGGAAGGTATAGATTATATTAAAGAATACCTCAGCCCTATAATTCATGGAGTTTTAATGGGAGTTGTCTTAATGGGATATATAAGCCATTTCATTTCAGGGAAACCATTTAAGGAATACAAATAGATGATTATAAATACTTTTCTCAATGGCCATTTTTATGTAGTCACATTACTGTATTACTATGAGTTTTCTTTCTAATTAGTACAGATCATAGATAATGAACAAAGATCATAAGGTCTAATTCTTGCAAGTATATAATTTATAATATTTCACATAATGTATTCTACTAACCATTATAACATACAGGATATTTAAATTATATGGTCAGTACTAAAATCTGTCACCCATTTTAAATGTACATGTTGTACCTGGCAATGGTGGTACATGCCTTTAATCTCTGCACTTGGGAGGCAGAGGGAGGTGTATCTCTGTGAGTTCAAAGCCAGCTTGGTCTACAAGATCTAGTTCCAGGACAGGCTCCAAAAGCTACAGGGAAATCTTGTCTGGAAACAAACAAACAAACAAAAAAGGACATGTTAGGGAAGACTGGAGGGGGAGTAGGAAGAAGAAATGTAGAATAAAATACATTTTATACATGTATGAAATTATTAAGAAAGTAAGAGAATAGTATCAAAAAACAAAATTTACAAAATAGCATTGCATAGTATCCAGCTTACTTTGGAGTCTTTGGGTAAAATTTGTCATTTATTAATCAGATAAGAGATTATCCCACTTTTTAAAGAATGACTATTCTTGACAGTGAAGTTTGATATTTGATGATCTTTTCTCAGAATTTTCTATTTGATACGTAACAAAACTTCCATTTTCCTATACTCTGTATTTGAGATGTTTTTTTAAATATTCATAAAGTAGAATCCTACAAAGGCCCTTAAGACTCTTCTAAAATATGGCATTCAGCTGTCTTTCAAAAGCCTACTCCTTCCTTCCATCCTTCCTTCCTTCCTTCCTTCCTTCCTTCCTTCCTTCCTTTCTTTTCTTTCTTTCTTTCTTTCTTTCTTTCTTTCTTTCTTTCTTTCTTTCTTTCTTTCTTTCTTTCTTTCTTTCTTTCTTTCTTTCTTTCTGTCTGTCTATTGTTCTTTCTTCTTTCTTAAAAATTTCCACCTCCTCCCCTTCTCCCATTTCCCTCTCACTTCCCCTAC